ACTCGCATACCCTTCATATGTTAGTGTCTATGTTTAAAATCAATCCAAGTTGTTTGCAAAAGTATTTTTTGAAACTAAAAAAGAAAAAATACTAAAAGGAAATTAGAGTAATTTAGCGTAATCAAATCCCTGAATCCATTAAATCTCTTATTTGTAGAAGTAAAGTATGCTCCCCACACTTTACTTGGGTTTCTAATCGACTTACCAATAATAGATTAGTAGCGACTATTGAACAAGTTAATTTGCATGTTAAAATTGAACTGAAAGTCGAAATTGATATAGGCTTGGGAAAGCCCAAGCTAAGTGTAACCTTAGTAATCCATTAGCTATTCCTTTTGGTGGTTTACCAAAGGGAAGGTCGCGACATCAATTTAGGTTGGAAATCGTTGACAAGGACGTCGGCCGTTCTACGTGACACTGCTGGCGCTGCCTGGACCACCACATTAGCGATTTTTGTTCTAAATTGTTTGGAAGGACTATATTGGCTGTTGCATAATAGGTGTAGGACCTTTTTGGACAATTGTGATAATTAACTTTTCTCCGATAAAAATTACCCACTAATTTAACATTACCAACTCTTATCGGAGTTTTCGACCAAAAAAAAAAAACTCTTATTGGAGTTAGTCATCTTTGTTTCTTTTTGAAATTGCATACTTCTATATCTGAAAAAAAAAGTCTCCTGTACTTTACCACCTTTCATTTACTTTTCTTATCAACGACTTAGAATTACCAACTACCATATGAGATTAACAATCTTTAATTGTGGCATTGTTTCCCCCAAAATTTGCCAAATGAATGTCAGCCCCCTAAGAAAAGGCACTTCAATGAAGACTGAACTCGAAATTGGCAACCCACGCTATCCTGGTATTATTGTTCAGACGATTACAGTTTAGAAAGGAACATGAACTATACTTAATTATGATGCAGAGCTAAAACCCGACAGCAAGCTCAAATCAAACTTACAAGGGCACTAGAGTTTACTAATGAAACAAAAAAGAACAAGAACCTAAATAAAATAGGGATAATTACCAAAAATTTCACAAATCTATTGCACTTACGCCAATTCAGTCCAAAACCTTTCAATTTGACCAATTTAGTCCTAAACGTTTTGACAATTTGTCAATATAGTCCATCAACCAATTTTGGCCAGAAATCACTAACGTGAACGCCAATCGTCCTACTTGGCGTGGATGCCGGCCATCCTATGCCGTCATATGACACGTAGGACAGCGCTGGCACAAACAATTTTTTTTTTCAATTGTTTAAAAAAATTTTGAATTATTTTTTATTTATTTTCATCTTCCTTTTCTTTTTTTTTTCCATATTTTTTCCTTTCACTGTGGCTGGTGAAGGCCGCGAAGCCCTCAAGGGTCGTAGCCCTCACTTGGCCTCACCAGTCATTGGCGAAGGTGGCCTCGCCTAGATCTAGGCAAGGGTTGCAGCCCTTGCCGGTCACTGTGAAAAAAAAAACAAAAGATAAGAAGGAAAAGAGAAAAACAAAAGAAAAGGAAAAAGAAAAGAAAAAATTCAAAAAAACTGAAATTTTTTTTATTTACGTCAGCACCGGCCATGCCATGTAGGATGACCAGCATCCACGTTAGCGATGTCCGGCCAAAATTGGACAGATGGACTAAATTGGTAAAACGTCAAAAAGGTTTAGAACTAAATTGACTAAATTGAAAGGTTTAAGACTGAATTGGCATAAACACATTAGGTTTATGACTTTTTTGATAATTTTTCAAATAAAATAACTATATTTTGTTGCAATTTGGTTGAATATGTGTGCCCTTCTTCTTTGTTGAGACATCCTTTTATAGTTATGAGCCTTTAGGATTTCACTTTCCATGTTCTAGGAGTTGTTTTCCACGTCTTTGATGTGTTCCGATGTCCCCCACGTTATTAAAATGGCTGATATCAATTTCTAGTAATATGTTTCGTATTCATGCCAATCGCTTCTTCACGTACATTGCTTCTGCCACATGTTTGACCACAATCTCCATCGCTCTTAGTTTTACGGATGACGTTTGATTAGAAAATAACATTCCTCGCACTTTTCTTGGACTTTAACGAGTTTGACAGCATGCCAATCGCTTCTACCACTTGAATCCCCGTTGCCTTGTGCCATGATTTCCACGTCCCGAGATGCCAAGGTCATGGTCTAACAACCTCTACTTCTCTTTTCCATGTTGGCATTGCCCCAATTGGCCAATGCCAATTTCGAAGATTTCAAACTTCCTACTGGCCAAACCTATGCCAATCACACTTGGTTGGCATAAACTCCCTAACATCATATAAATATAAAGTCAATATCTTGTTTGATATGGTCGATGCTTCATCAAGACAATGTCTCTCGCAAAAAGGCCATACCTATTTTGGCCAATTTTAGGTGCCGACACATGCCCTACAACATTCAATTGTATGCAAAATGTAGTTGACTCATGCAATGGGTGATTCTTACCCTCTTAGAATACTTTTGCTCTGAAAGGGCAGTATGATGGGTCAACAAAGTTAAGGTGAGGCACGGCTCCTAACCGAAACTCTTGTCAACCAAATCTCACTAAGTCAAATTGATCATTTTATGCATTTGATGCTCTTTCTTCTTTCTCCTGTTTTGACTTCGTTTCGTCATGGACCTTTCCTCAAGTTAACCTTTTAAGACGAGACTGAGTAGGCTGAGTCACTTCTCTTTCCCAGAGTAGGAAAATGACACTAACGATGCCATAACTTTCGTACTTTTGGTGTCATGACTTTTTAAGCAGTTTATGACTTTTAAAAAAACATTCACTTAAGTTACATCGACGATTTCCCTTTTCTGAAGACCTTGCATGGCATTAATTCAATATTAAACCATTTGACGTGGTTCACGCGAAGAGATGATGACAAAGACAAGGTTTTAAAACGATGCCATTTAAGCCCTACTTAGCCTTCAATTTGAGGATTTGGGACTGAAGTAGGTTGCAATTCACACCCTAGTCCCGCTTTTCAATTGCAAACCAAAATCAAAGTTTCACTTCAGGCACTACGCTGGCTACCCTCCTCCTTTGGCTGCCACCAACAACATCATCCGAACTAGGAGTGATCGATTCCCGGTTCGGTTCTAGGTAGAATCGGGAACCGGACCGGTCCAATGGAACCGATCAATATAGAAATTTCCCAACCAAACATGGTGAGATCCCCCAACCATACATGATATCAGCATGCTCAAAAGGGATGAAGATGTATGCTGACATCATTTTAATGTCTAAACAGCAAAAGTCAAAACATCTAAAACAAGAATGTAGCTCACACCTGCATATATATATTGGTCGATCCGGTCCGGGAGGTCCGGGCTGTCCGGTTGGTCCGGTTCCCACCTTGGAACCGGGAACCGGACCGCTTGGACACCGGTTCCACCTTTTGGAATCGGAAACCGGATTGACATTCCCGGGAACTGGACCGAATCGGCCGGTCCGGTCCGGTCTGGGCGGTTCCTAGTTCGGGCGGTCCCATTTGCACACCCCTAATCCGAACACTCTCTCTCTAAGGCCTAGGGGCCCACCATTCCTCTCTCCACAACTAACCTTGACACCAAACCTTGGCTATCGCTTTGGACGAGATGGGCCTCCTTTCACTGAACAATTCGTTCAAATTGAAATTGGAATTTGGGGCTAAGGTTTTTCTGGGAAAAAAATTACACATAATTTCTTAATTTGGGGGGAAGGTTTTGGGTTCAAGGAGCAAATTCAACCTAATCTCGTAATTTTGAGCAAATTTCTATTACCAAGCAACTTCGTTTGATCTATATCTAGAGGTTGAAATCTTCGCCGAGACATGTTGGATTATTTATTCTAAAAGAATGCCACATGTGAGTTTTCGACAACACAAGTGGCTGATGTCAATTGAATGATCGATTTTCAGAAGTTACGGACTTAAATAATCGATTGGAAAGTTATGATGTCATAGTGAACGCCATATGAAAATTAAAGTACTATTAATGTCCTTTAGGAAATTAAACGATTAATGATTTGAGAATCACTACAAGAAAAACACACCAAAACATACTTTGCGGCCATTGATTCAATCAAAGGTGGGATAATTTAAAATTTATGGCAATAAATCATTGTTTTGTTGCCTTAGGTCAAGCCGAACAGGACAAACTTTAAAACTTTAATACATCTCGTGGCGACGAAATACTTTGTTGCCTTTGGTTGGACATAAGGCAACCAAATCATGGTTCGATTGCCTTAGATGTTACCTGAGACGATAATCGTTTCCGGTGTATTTTAATGGGACTTAAGGCGATTGAAAAACCTTTTTGTCGCTATACTTCATTGGACTTAATGTAGTGTTTTATGGAAAATGTCTCATATAACATGATGATAACTTTATTCGAACACGACATGAAATAGAATCGAATTTTTAAAGGGAAAATGACACAAATAGTCCCTAAACTCTGACTAATGTGCAATGTGGTTTATGAACTTTTAATTTATTCAATGTGATCTCTGAACTTTACCCCAATGTGTAATGTGGTCCCTAAACTTTTAATTTGTTCAATATGATTATGGACTTTTGATACATATTTAATTTAATCCTTGCATTTTATGAAAATGTTCAGTATTGTCATTGAGCTCGAATTAATGGAAAAACAATATTAAATATTTTCCATATACTTCATGGACTAAATTGAAAATGTACCCAAAGTTCAGATATCACATTGTATATTAGAGTAAAGTTTAGGGGCCACATTGAATAAATTAAAAATTCGAACATCACATTACATCTTATATTAAAATTCAAGAATTATTTATACCATTATCTCATTTTTAAAAGTACGAATGTGATTGCCACTCAGGGTGCACATTTGTTTAAGAATCTAAACTACTATCATAAGGGTTTCCGATCACATCATGCTCCATCATTTCATGGCAAAGAAAAGGCATTAAAGAAATGGAAAGCAACAGCCAGAATTTTGAACTCAAAAAAGTTCAAAAGTAATACCGCACCAGCTCTGTCATTTGGGCGCCCAAACGCCACTCTCTGCTTCTCTGCTGTGTCCGAAGCACCCACATAACTGGAACGCTCTCTCTCTCTCTCTCTCTCTCTCTCTCTCTCTCTCCTGCTTCTTCTTCTTCTTCTTCTCAGATAAGCAAGCTCTCCATTCCATTGGAATACCCACGACGGGAGGAGATTTGGGTGTGAGGTTTCGAAGGAAAATGGGGAAGAAGATGGCAGGAACGAAGAGGGACTACGAGGAGAGCCGTCGCCAGAGGATGGAAGAGAACAAGAAGAGGATGGAAGAGCTCCATCTCAACAAGCTCGCCGCCGCCCTCGTCGCCACTTCCCCTAAGTCCACCCCAGTACTCTCTCTCTCTCTCTCTCTCTCTGTGTTTTCGTTTGTGCTTGTGTATTTTCGCATTGCTTCAGGCATTTCACAATGTGTTTGTGGATGGTTTCTCTGAGGTCGTAATACACAGCTTGCTTCAGAATGTGTACATGTGTAGTGCCGTGTGTTTGAGTGGTTTGGTTTATTAAGTGGTTCTCTTTACTTGCGTGGGCAGGTGAAGCAGAGCAAGATGCGGACTCCTCGAAAGCAGCCGGAGCCTTCTTCCGTGCCTGTGAGACGCTCGAGCCGCACGGCCAACAAACCTGCTCCTAACTACAAGGAAGTAAGAACTCTCTCTCTCTCTCTCTCTCTGTCTCTCTCTCTGTGCGTGCGCGTGTGCTCAAGTTCGAGGGATTAAGCCATCCCACAAAAAGGGCCTCTTTTGATGCGCACCATGATATGCATTTTCAACTAATATGTTTAATGTGAAGATTTCAGTTTATGGTTGGAAGTTTCGGACAGTAACTTTTACGACATTTTTGGAACGTATATAGGTGCTCTATTGCTATGTAGCTTTCAAAGATGTCAACTTTTGAGCTCCTGTGATGAATGAGATGAGCGCACCCATTGTTCACAAGATTCTAGAGATGGTTTGTCAGTGATTAAGAAAATCATCTGTTAAATCCGGGTATTGAAATGCCGTTGCGGTAGAGACTGGTTGAAATGTTTTGCAGCAAGAGTGGCTGTCCTGCTGGTTCCATAACATCGAATAATGCTTAATTATCGGAAGAAACATTATTAACTCGAAAGGGTCGAAAGGCTAAACTTTGATGGAGGAAGTGTGATTAACTATAAGTAATACAGACATGAACAGGGTATTTGAATCCGTTTGTGATATGATCAATGAAAGTAGTTCTATGGCCCTCTTACATGTGGGGATAACCTAAGGATACCCCTTTTGCAGGTATTCGAAATTGGTCCTTTGGAAAGAGTGAGGAGGTTAGTTATGAGAGCTCACTGGTTTTCTTCCAGTATTCGATTGTATATTCCCGAGCAAAGTATCTAAAGTTTCTGATTTTCTAGTAGGAGCTACTCTCGAAGAGACCTGTTGAACAGGGTATATGCTTCTGATGCAATAAGGGCATATGCCATTGAGAGAGCAGAGCAACTTCAATCCAGTTTAGATGCAGAGTTCCCAAGCTTTATCAAGCCCATGCTTCAGTCACATGTCACGGGAGGCTTTTGGCTAGTAAGCGAATCGACCCTTTTTTTTGTCTGCACTCTTCTTCGAATGTTGATATGTAGGAAATTGTTGTGCCATGTCGACTATGCTCTCACCACGCTTTGTTAATCCAGTAGCACGTGTTAGATCGTTGCCTTGACTAAAAAAGAGGACGGGGTGAGAAACGAAATGATCTGACGAGTCAATGCAGATATATGTTCAAGTAAACACTGAATCATCAACTCCTGTACCTTTGTGACGATGGAGAGTATAAATCACACCAACAATTGGAACAGTTATTTGTGATTTGTTTGAAGGAGAGAAGATCTCGAATGATTCTTCGTCATGAATATAACAGTGGAAGAGTTCAATAAGCACTTGCTCTACCACTTTGAAGCAGCATGAGATATGTTGTAATCGATCTATTGCAGTTCCTTAGCTGCTTTTTTGTAGTGAATGCATTCTTGATAAGCTGCTTTGAGTTTGTAGTAGCAACCGACCCCCCTACCTTTGATGAGTAATAAAATGCGATAATGAATTGTAATTAGAAAAAAGGCGCAAACTTTGAAATTACAGGTAGGCCGTGTAGCTTACCTTGCATAAAAACTGGCTAAAAGTTTCTTTAAGAAGCTGATAGAGCTATTTGCCAGCTCTTCTAATGGATGATTTGTCTCCAATATTTTTCAAGAGCCTTCAACATAACTTCTGCCACAAGCATCTCCCGCACCGTGATGACACCGTGACTCTTGTGGACGAGGATGGAGAAGAATTTGAGACCAAGTATCTCATTGAAAAAAACGGCCTAAGTGGCGGATGGAGAGGTTTCTCCATTGCTCACGATCTCGTCGATGGAGATGCTTTAGTGTTTCAGCTGATCGAGCCATTGGCATTCAAGGTAAATCTTCTGAAGCCCCGGGCATGCATGGAAGAATTGGGGATAGATCACTACTCAACTCACTATTTGCTGGGCAATTTTAACCATCCATCTTGAAGAACTTAAATTAACTCCTCAGCTTTTATGCTGGCTTTACAAATTAGCACTTGCCTTTCGCCAGGTCCATATCGTCAGAGCCTATGAATCGGAGGAGAAGGAAGCGGAAGTCGCCGAAGAGGAGGAAGCAAAAGACCATGGAAAGGAGAAGAAGAAAGCGGGAGACCTTAAAGAAGAGGAAAGGGTAGCAGATGTCCCATACTTAACCCGAAGTGCCAAACGGATTAGAGCAAGTAAGAAGTTACTCACCGTTCTTTCAAACTTCTAAATATTGGATTAAGTTGTGTTGCATCAATGGCTTTTCTTTCACTATCTGAATCACTGCTTCAAGGCTGTCGTCAATTCTAACAAGAGGACTCGAGGAAATATAATGAATGCGAACAAATTTATGAAGCACGCTACGAAGAGCCGACAGATTAATGCTAAACATTTTTCAGTATGGCAAGTTTGCCTCTAATCTTCTATAGCTCACTTTTGGTTTCAAGTTTTACCATCAGCAGAGCAAACATATCTATCTATCTGAATGAGATTTACCAAGAGAGCTTCCTACTCTCCCTAAGTAGTTAGTTTACTGATCTTGTTCATCTGGGCATAAAAAAACTTAAGTCTAGTATTTGCATGAAGTCAAATATGAAATAGATATAGATATATCTGCACGTAATGCTAAAACGTCACGATAAATGAAACTTGTGGAACATTCCATTCATCCAAAAGTAAACAGAACTGCAGAGAGTCCATCATTCCTTTTAGCTTTAATGAGGTAATAACTTTGATTGATAGCATGCTGTGTGAAATTGTGAATGCCTCCCATTCTCAATACATATGCTATTCCTTCTTCCAGCCACAGGGTTGTAACAACTTTGATGTTTTGACAGGTAGAAAGTGAACGGGAGCGCAAGGTGTTCCTGTTTATGCGCTCACGGCTGGTATATGACTGACAACACTCTTTTGGCTTAATTCGTTGCTGGAGCAGTATCTATCTGTAGGTTCTATCTAAAATTAACAGCAACATGCTTGCGTTTTGTATCATCAAATTGTACAAGACAAATTTGACTCCATTGTGTCTGAAACATTCAAACTTATCATGTGGTTAATTGCGTGGTGGGGGTATTGACATCACTACTTTTTTTAACACCAAGAGCATTAGGTAGGAAAAAGAATCAAACAGTGATCTCCATGTTATTAACACCCAGCTGAACAAAAAGCCAGGGTGTTGAATGGGATCCTTCAACTGATCTGTTTATGACAAAAATTATGTCGTTTCTGTTACATCGTAATAATCTGATAAATGATTCAGTTTATGAAAATGACACATGAGGATTGTTGGAATATCAAATGGGGTCTTACTAGCTTTTGTGGCCTGGCAAGAGCCATGGATCATTCATATTTTTCACTTCCAAGTCCTTTGTAACCTTTTGGTTTTTTCTGTTGAAGATTAAACATACATTTTCTCAAGGAGGTCTCTTACTGCAGTTCCCTAATAATCACTTGGAAGGATATGCAATCCGAGTCATTATTTCAAACATATTCCTTTGTAATTCAACTTTGACGAACATTAACGAGCCAATCAAACAGCCTTGATCACAGAATTCAGAGTCTTGCTACTTGATCAGTGAAAGTTGGATCTATGCAAACCACCACCTGGAATAAGATTTTGTTCATACTCAAAATTTATTATGCAGCGAAAAGAAAAAAACATAGTAATAGAGTTTGCAATGACGTGCCCAAAATATCCATGGAGTTTGTGGAAAATGTACATACCTTGCCAATACTTCTACCAGAATGAAGATGCTCAACAGCATCTGCCACAGCATTGAGACCCACAAATCTTTTTGGGTCGATGGCCACCTGCATTCAGTTAGAAGATTAAGTCTTGGCGAACTTTGAAATTCAGCAGAGATAGCTAGCGACTTAGGCACTGAGATAATCATCCAACTGATTCTACAGATTAAAAGTTAGGCAGTGACTTTTGGTAGAGAATTAGTTGTCAAAATCTTGCAAGATGTCCATAATAAGGCCAAAGGAATAAGATAACAGGAAAGTAAGGGCATTGCATTGTGTGAAAGGAACAGATATCTACAATAAATAAAAAAAAAAAGCATGATCTATGATGGAAGGGTCCAGTCTCAGGCTCTCAGCAGTAAAATAAACGTATAACAGTAAAACAAAAACAGAGTAGTACCTTGAGCTGTCCTCTGGAATAGAGTTGAAACAGTCTATCTAGATGTTCTTGCCAGAAGTTACTATATTGTACCAGGAAAAAACCAGCCTGCCAACATTGTCAATATCATATTATACACTTCAAGGGGAGAAAGGCATAACCAACTATAAGATTCACAATCCATGCTTATTCCTGATATATAGTTGGCGCATTAATAAGAGAAAATTATCGCAGTAGAGTACAATCACTGGCCGTGATGCAGTAGACATACCACAGTTTGGCTTTTAGACAGAAGTTTCTCGCAAAGTCCAGGGTACTTGGATGGTGTCCATCCATGCTCTCCTTGATACTACAATCAAAGTAGTAATTTTGTACAGGTTAAATAATATGTACAACTATCAAATAGTTAATATTCAAGCATGAAGAATGTTAGGACAGTATGCATACCGAGGGAACTGACCACAACTGGAGGAGACACTGGAGAAAAATCATATACGCATATAGATAGAAAACATATAGCACTTGCTACAAAGACTCTTTGCACAGTCTACTTTATTTCTATAGCATCTCTAACCAATATTCCCCATTATACAAAGTAAAACATCTTAATGTCTGTCTCGCAACCCTCTGCCGCACAGAAATGTGATTGCAGTATAACTTCTAACATGCATTACGTCTACACAAGACTCATACAAAAACTTCAGAAACCTAACTTTCCTTTCAACGGTATCTCACTGAAAGTGAGAGCAAGAATGTAAAAATTTCCGCACGGCCTAATCGAGATAACTAAGTTGGACATTGGAATTGCTGGCAAACTCGTGATAAAAAGATCTGGCTCAGATGGCTGTCAACAACATAAGGAAGTAATACCTGAGAAATCATGCCAATTACAATCAAGCGTCCATATATGGCCAAAGCATTCAAGCAAAGATCAAACATTTCCCCACCAACAGACTCGTAAACTATGTCAACGCCTCTCGGAAATTCCTTCTTCAAAACCTGTAAATTTGGAAAAGATAGAGAAAAAGCTCACTACATAAACTTTTATTTGAGTATCATGTATTATCTTGTAAATCATGAGAAATGAATTCATTTTAAATGAAAGTTCACATAAAAACTAAACCCAGGAATAGAGAAAATGCAGAAAACAGTCTAGACTCTAGACATAATCCTACAAGAATTGTTACAATATAGAAAATAGTAATGAAGCTGCATAAAGTTCATGCACAAAGGAAGGCTGCAGCTAGCTATTTGAGACATGGTACGAAAATACAAAAAAGTCAGAGAAAACCAGTTACTTATTTATGCACACTGTCGTTCACTTCAGAGTGTTGTATATGAGGAAAAACAAGGTTCTGTAACACCATCACCTTTTATCTTCTGCAGCTCTTTTAATGATAGGGAAATTAAAACTTGAAAATGCGGATAGTGCTGTTGGCATTCAGATGCCAACATAAAATGAAATTGAAGGTAAAGAGAACTTCCAGAATTTCACGTACAAGTTAATTTTGCATGAGTAGGTAAGATAGGATCTGTGCATATGTGGATGAATATTCTCATTTACTATTACCTAATCAATATAACTAGCTAATCTGAGTCGTGTGTGACAGTGAACTTATCTAGAAATAATTTGCTGCACTACATGAATGAACCAGGGTCTTTGATTTCTCAACCCCCACATTGTGTCCAAAAGGGAGAGCAGAACAGATGAACGGATTTTTAGGAGACATACAGTTTTGATGTCTTCAGCTTTATAATCTATCACACGATCAACTCCCAATTCTTTCAAAAGCATGGCCTTCTCCCTCCCTCCACAGCTTGCTACTACTGTATTTCCCGCAATTTTTGCAAGCTTGAATGGTCACGATAGACAAAGTGACTTTTAGTAGTGTAAAATATGTGAGCAGCTGAGGAACATTGTTAAGCACATGCAGTGTCTTGCTTAAAAAAGAAGAGATTCTTCTCTCCCTGAAAAAGGGTAACTACAGTGGAAGAAAATGCAAACGTATTAGAAACAATAATATCAACAAGCTGCAGTGCAATTTTCCCTCTTAGCAAACACACGATATCATGAATGCAAGGGCACAAGGCCACATGCAAATATGCAAAAGCAACTTAAGGTAATTTTTTAATTCATCTAAATCTACATCTGGAAAAATCAATCTCTAACCATGGAAAAGTAGACAACTAGATAGCAAGAAGTCCGGATAACGAACACCTAAATTTGCAGGAGGGTACAATTTTGATTGGTTTTGAATACTCTGGACAGAGGGGTACATTAGCTGATCATTACAAGAACACACACCTCCTAAGAAAAGATTAGGAGTAACATTTAAGTAGACGAACAAAGCCAGAACAAGGTTTATAAAGGAAAATAAAAGAATGATCCCCAGCTTTGCAAGCTTTGTAGATAGAACACCAGTTAAGAGGACCTCTAAGAGTTAGACCTGATTGCAGGGACTTTTTCAAAAATTTTATTTCAATCTATCCTTACTTAATGACTCCCTAATCCATGGCGTCTTCTTCAGCACCTTTCACTTTAGTAAGTTACCTTATTGCTAGACTAATTGCTGGACATCAATCAATTAATATCATGTGAAAATACTACAGATAGAGATCGTCTCATCTCGTTCCCTCGATACTGACCTCTGCAATTCTAATAAGTTGCAAGATCACATAGTCATAGATCTAATAATACTAATTTAATAGCATCAATCTGAATAAGAAACAGACCTGGACAGCAAATTGCCCAGTCCCTCCTGCGGCAGCTGTAACAAGAACCACTTTGCCAGATTCCATTTGTCCAGCCTAGATTTTCAATAAGAGCAAAACACAAGTTTTAATGTCATATGAGACATGATCAGGTGTCTGAAAATAATTGTTTCGATGTACTTAAACTGGAAAAATGTCTGAAATCAACAGCTCCAGCAAATAAAATTGCAAAAGGAAATGAAAAGGATAGTTTGCTATATTACATAAAAGTTTAACCTTTTCTAGTGCAATAGATGCTGTAAGCCCCGAAGTAAGCATGGCAACTACTTCTGGATCTGGCCTGGCCACTGAAAGGACGTGTTTTGCTGGAACCTGAGAAAGATATGATATTTATTACAACAAACCAGGGATCTCCATCATGACTTTGCAGACTGAGTCTATGAAAGATATTAACCACAGTCAAACCAGCTATTGACATTAAAATATCCCTATGGAACATAATTTTACCATTGTAAATTCTGCATAGCTTCCAAAAGTCATCATTGCAGCAGGCATGCCAACTTTCAAGTCCTTGACAGAATCACCAACTGCAGCGATTATCCCCACAGCCTGACATGTCAATCATGAAGATACCATTTGAACAAGTGATGGAGGTTAAGAGTAAAACAAATATTTGATGCTGCTAGAGGAACCACAAAATTATGCCAAGAAAATCAACATAAATTAGATATTGCAAAATGTGACAACAGCATAGATTTTTCCCAGACCTCAAAGCCAGCATCGAAAGGAAGACGGGAGCCAACATCTCCCTTTCCACCTTGGAAATAACGTCCTGAGCTGAAATTTACCTGTTCAAAGCATGATTTTTTTTATTAAAAAAGCTATATGCTAACTCTATATCAAGCATTCACAATCGCTCCCACTATCTAACATGAGTCACACAAATCTAACGGTTTGGGGCCTGTCAAATTGCGACAATAAACGTTAGCTAATGAACAATTACTAAAAGATGATCTCTGGAGTTCTCATGAATTCCCTCTATTAAATACTGCAAAAGAAATGCGCTAGCTTCAGAAGTTCGCATGGATTCTGTATAGATTTCGACATGCAAGCTGAATCCCAAGTCAAAAACCTTCAAGTGCATAACAAACATCTGAAGTTCAAGAGAAAAAAGATTCTTAGTAAAAGAAAAAACCAGTTATACCAGCAAGCATCTCAAAAAATCGGAACACTAACTTTGATACCTACTTATCAGTCATCTATCGACCCATAGGTTCGTTAATGGATAACTTAGTAGGCTTGTATTAAGGGAAAGTCCTATCAATTGTATATAAGCCACATTACAAAGATCCAATTTGCTTTTTGATGTTTAGTGCAGCAACATATACAAAAGCTAATCATCGAGTTGAAGTTTTAAGCATAGTTCTACAAATGGATCAGCCAACATAGAGCTACACATTTGAGTAGAGGATGAGAAAGATTAACCTAAAATTAAAACAATACCAGTCATAAAGGATGAGAAAGACAGGATGAAAGGAAGCTAACTTTGTTAAAAGAAGCCTTGAACTTACGTCACTCGCATTTACTCCAGCATATAGTATTTTCACAAGGACATGCTGTGGTTCAATTGGCAACCTCAAAGGTGTTCGAATAATCCGGGTAGCATTACGGAAATTGTGAGTCAAGGTGTGAACCACACTGAATATCAAAATTTATAATACAGCATTAGATCTTCCAATTGATAAAATGCTTATATTCCCAAACATAATCTCTAAGTTGTAAGTAGTTGCTTCTTCAGGAAAAGAAGCTAAAGAAAACGATTCCATTCAGGATTCAATAAGGATACAATATAATAAAACATGCCATTAACTAAAAAACTAAAATCCACTAAAGAAAATTGGAACTAAACAATCAACATAACCCGTATAACAGCCTATGGAGGGTGCTCCGACACCTATTAGTCCAAACAAATAGAAGCGGAAAACCATCATTAGACAATTCCAAAGCATACTCAGTTTTTGACCAATTAATAATTGCATAGATACAGCTGTTGCAGTGATATAAATGTCAAGCCCATTAAATTTCTGTAAGTCATTGCTTACAATTACTTTAGTCCACTGTTCACATCCACATTGAAAATTGATAAATAGATTTACTCTGCAAAACGTTGACTTCCTTCTTTGTGCATATTTAAAGTAAAAGAAGAAAAATAGAGGATGCAAATGAAATTATTCTTAGCTAAGCTATGGTTAAAGCTGTACCCAGCACCCTGGTAATCGCACCAGGAAAATAAATGCTGTCATGATATAAAATGATATAACATGGTCAAACTGTGAAAGAAGGTTGCTCAGAAGCCTCATACAGATGGAAGACCATCGAGCCTAAACTTATCATGGCAATTTGTCATTCCACTTATACAAGAGCAATGAACTACTGTAGCTGATAACTTCTGTTAAATAAACAAGAGAGGGAATCTCTAGAGTACCTATGGAATACCTAAGCAGTCCAGGTTTATGATATAAGAAGCTAAACCAATACTCTGGTTGAACAGTTCAGTTATGTGCACAGATACAGTAGCCCCGAATTATCTTCACTCACATTTTCTCAAAATTCTTAGGAAGTTGCAAATTCACTGGTCCTTTATACAATGATCTTCTTCTGGAACTCAAGGATTGCACTCGGTATTTTGCTTCTTCTGCTGCACTGGGCCAATATTGCATGCCTCTGCGCTTTGTAATCCATAGACATGAACCAGCTTTGCTTTCATCAGTGATAAGTTCAAAAGCTCCTGGAAAGTGTAAGTGGACTAGCCATCAGAAGTGATCCCTTCTACATTTGATAGCACATCTTTGGAGCAGGGTCCTATTAGTCCCTCACTAATCATGTATGGCAGTTCTTTAACTTTTTCTACAAACTTTGTAGCTGTACCAGTATGCATCTCTATGGTATTTCTACATCTTAATACAGAAACTTTAAATGCTCCAAAGTCCAGAGCAAACGACTCATGCTCAGAAAATTCGATTGCAGTAAATGAGTGAATGTGTCATTCATGCAAAAAAATTTTATTTCCATGCAATGTGATGTATACGTCCGATAAGATGTAAAGCAAGTGGAGAAGATCGTTTATGGATGTACCTTTCACCACCATTTCCATAGGTACAAAGCCCCCCATCAAGTCTATAAATTCAGAATCCACCTTTAAGGCCATCTCTGTTCGAACAAACTGCATAAGTAGTAAAGGATTCAACTATTAAGAATCATACACAGCAATATACATTTTCTGGAGCAAAGGAAACCAGGTCAGATAAAACGGGAGAACAAAATTCTATACTCCTTCATATTGTCATAATAAAAACCAAATAAGTGAAAAGGCAGCAAGATTTCTTCTGCCACTTAGTACAGGAATCGCATTTAAACATCAAAATTTAGGCTAAACCAACGATCAACCAAACCACCAGTAAAGGGACATGTCACAGGAGAAGATAGCTTGATGTGCATGCAATTCTCGACATTTTTCAGTAATGTAAGCTTCCCATTGATCTACAGCATTAGGAGTAACGATATTTACTAAAGAAAATGCACCAAACAGTCACCAAAGCATCTCCCAATAGACCCAATGACCAGTCTCAAGGAAATGAAAAGCAAGAATTGGCAAAGAAAGATAACTAGCTGAGATAATTATATTATTTCACACCCTAAAGGGACCAAGTACAACTGCTAACACAGTTTATTCCCTCAAAAGACCAAGTACAATTCCATAAACTAGCAATGCTATCTTGAAGTTCCTTCCATAAATCCATGAGAGCTCATTTATTGTACCCTCGGAAGAGAACCTCTATAGCAAACCAATTAAAAATTTTATCAACTGCAACACCCTTTCAAACTCCAGATTTCAATTCTTTTCAGACAATCCAACAGTGCTACGACTAGTTAAAAAAAACACGGACATATATTTTTCTGCTTTCTGCTCCAAAAACAAGGTGTAAGGAATCAGAAATATCCAACACTCGACACAGAAACTATGTTAGGTATTCGTGGTAGAATAATGTTTCTCATCTCCATTATGAATTTAGTTCATAAGGTGTTATTCAACATACAGAAACATAGCAGGACAACAGAGCTTCTTCTGCAGTGAAGATCAACTTGCAAATTATTTGTCTTCGCTGATCAAGAACGAGTATTTGGAGAGATCATCTCTAGAGGATAACACTATCAAACATCATAAGAAGAGTCAAATGCTCCATAAGGTCCACAGAAATTTCAGGTCGTGATAATACCCTTGCTTGAAATTAAGATTAATAAAGGAGAAAGTTCTGATAAAACCGAGCAAGATTCGAGATTCATGAAGACAATAGTCCCATCCATACCAAATCTGGAATTGAGAGCAGAAAAATGAATCGTCAATCAATTAAGCACTTCAGGGGAAAAAAAACAAAAAGGAAGATGAATAATCATCTCATTAAAAGTGCCTATGTCAAGTGTAGAGGACTTTCAAACAGCACGAGATAACCAATCAAAAGAAACAATCTTCCTCAGTTTTAATCACAGTAGTACATTGCATCACAAAACCTTCTAATATGATACAGCACCTCAGGGCAAAGTACGTTGATGCGAATTCCTCGGCGTTTGTAGGGTGCAAGTGATCTGGTAAACAAGACGACACCACCTGCAGTGTTATATAGTCTCCTAATAGTTAAAAAGTGGTATCACCAGAGGGACGCTTGTGCAGGAATTCCGTCAGGTATATGTAGCTGGGGAAATAGAATTGAAATTGAATAATGAAAGGAGGCTATAACTGAAAACTAACCTTTTGAGCCAGAGTAGATAGGATCAGAGTACATAGGATAAAGACCTGAAGCAGATCCCATGTTTATTATTACACCGGGTCTCCCAGCAGATTCCATGGCCTTAATCTATTAAGAAGAGTGAATCATTTTGTGCTAGTTTCCTCACAGTAAAGCAGTATCCACTAGCAATCAGAATTGTCATTGCTCCCCCCAACCGAAAGAGGAAAGGAAGAGAGAAAGAATAGACCATGGATATGCACTTTTTGCATGCAAGATGATAATATCAGGCAAATGCACAAAGCTCAACTTGGTCACTGCAGCATCACCAAGCTAAGTGCTTGAAAAATGTGGTCTTACTGCAAGGCGAGTGCAGTCAACGACAGCAGCCAGATTCACGTTGAGCGCATGTCGCCAGGACCGAGTCCCATCGGTCTGATCCTTCTGGAATGGGATGGAGGTGCCAATGCCGGCGGAGTTAATACAAATGTCCAATCCCCCATAGGTCGCAACATGCTTCTCGAACGCACTGACGAGATCCCCTGTTTTATACGGAAGACAACAACCTACTCAATCGGTCTATCGAAACAAGACAACATCATTCACTAGAATTTTCCTAAACCTGCGAATCCCAAAAAAAGCAATCATGAGCAGAGACAAACAAGGCACTCACTCGAGTTGGACACATCGCATTTCACGAAGACGGCAGCCGGAAATCCCAAGTTGGAGTGGAACTTGGAATTCGCCTTCTCGACGAGCAGCGCCACTTCCTTCCCCCTCTCCTCCGAGAAATCGACCACCGTCACGAATATCCCCTTCTCCGCGAGCGCTATCGACAGGGCCTTCCCTGCACACCATCCAAAGCCAAATCCAATCACAACACCCCCCGAACCATCGCAACGCGCATAAACATACACAACCGCTAGCAGCGGCAAGGCGAAGACGACACATCGATCGTGACGACATCGGCAACATCAGAATCCACGGAAACAAAGGACGACGAGAAAACTCGGGAGTCAGTAGTCGGGCGAGACCGATCGCCGCAGAACAGAAACCAATCCCGAGCGGCGATCAAGCGAGCGAAGGGAGGGGGAAGGTTTACCGATGCCGGAAGCTCCGCCGGTGACGAGAGCGGACAGGCCAGGCTTGAGCTCCATGGCGCGTGCGGTGTGCTGCTCCTGGCGTCCGACGAGATGATGTTTCGAAGAAGAAAGAGAAGATGGTTTCGAGAGAGTGTAACCGTCGCTAGCTAACGTAGCGATTCATCGGATTTGGTGAAAGCTGTCGGGATAAAACTAAGGAAAGTACGACGTCGGGGGGATCGCGGTGGGGTCCGCCTAGGAAGGATCCCGGGACAAGGAAGGAAGGGGGAGAGGACGGCGGAGTTTTTTTTTGTCGTCGCTCGTTCGTTCGTTTGCGTTCCGGCCGGAGGTGAGGGGGGAATCGGGCCGCCGGCGCGGGCGGTGCTTACGACGCTTTCGACTTTGGATTTGTCGCCCGGTTCGCAAGCACTGACCCCGGAGGTCTTAATCACGGCTCGAGGCTATCGTCATCCCCCACGAAACAACTTTTCACAGTTCTACGGAGATCCGACAGATTTCAGCCGTTTAACTTGGGTAAAAGTACACTATAAGTGCCATAATTTGTGTACGGCGATCACTTTGGTGCCATAACTTTTTTTCGGGTCACTTTGGTGCCAAGTCGAACGAAAATCGATCACTTTAGGGCGCGCATGAAATCCATTCTGGAGCAAAATTTCTGTTTCAGAATGCATTCCGGAACAGAAATGCGTTTGTTAAAAAATTTCCGGAATGCATTCTGGAGGAATTTTTGCATTCTGGAGCAAAAACGCGTTTGGTAAAAATACATTCTTTTTTTGGTTCCAGAATGAGTTTTTGCTTCCAGAATGTGTTTTGGGCCAAAAAAAAGAAGCTAGTTTTTGTAGCTTCTGGCTTCCCGAATGCATTCTGGCCAAATTTCCTTCTTTACTCTCTTCAAGAGACGTTCGACTCTCTTCAGTTTCGTGCCCTCCTTCCCTCCTCATGACTGCACCGGAACAGCCACCGCACGCGGCGGCGATCGATTTTGGCCCTCACTCTCTCTCCGCCGCTTCCGTTTCTTCATGCGTAGCTCGTGAGTCTTCGATTTCTCCAATTGTTTCATCTCCTCTCTCGTCGTTAGCTTTTCCCTTCGGTGCAATCCATGGTGCGCGACGCGACCGCCCGTTTGGGACACGCGGCCCGCGCGAATCTCGCTCAAACGAGTCGAAATCGAGGGAACGAGACGCCGCGGAGCGGTCTGGCGAGAACTTGATTAGCATGCTGCGGATTGAGGTTGAGGTTGAAGTTGAGCCGCGGGGTTTCTGTTTCGAAAGGGCTATGATGTGTGGGTTGTGTGGCTGAATCGGTTTGTTTCGTCATTCGTGTCTAGCTCTGCGATTCGCGGCCGAGGCCCTTGTCGAGGCCGAGGCCCTTGTCGAGGCGTGCCTCAACGCGCCCACCCCGCTCCGCTACTTGACCGAGAAGCAGCGGGCCCGCGAGGCCGAGCGCGAGAAGATGGGGCCGACGTCAAAGGGACCGCGGCGAGAGATCGACATCTTGAAGAAAGGGAAGTCGAAACCGGGCGTCTCCGAGAAGCCGAGATAATCGGGACCCGGGCTTGGATTTGATCTCGTTGGGACTGGTCGATGCGGATAAGATTCCGAAGTATGGGCTCATGGTCGAGGATGGAAGGCGGCTTGCGAAGGAGTATTCTAGGGTTTTGATGAGGAGGCATATGGCGAGGCAGGCTGTGGAGAGTAATTTGTTGCGGATGAAGAAGGAGGCGATTGAGGCACTGCCGGAGAAGCTGTGAGAGGCGGCGCTGGTGCCAGATTTGACACCTTTCCCTGCAAACCGCTTCATGGAGACACTCACGCTGCCAATTGAAGGGTACATAGAGAAGGTCAAGGACGCTGCGAGGAAGAGCTTGGCCAAGGAGAAGCTTAGATGATTTTGGATGAAGGCCGTGATTAAAGGTTAGAGCTTTTTGTTGTTTTAGGTGAATTGGTTTCTGTATGAAGTTATGAACTATGTTTAGCTGACGTGTTCCATGTGCTGTTTTGAGGTCAGAAAGGAAGATATTTGTCATAGGTTGTAGCTGATTCTTTGTTGAATGTTCATGTAATGCCTGAAGAATGAGCCATAGATGTGTTTCAGGGATGTTGAAATCTTCTTGGTTGATTCGACTCTTCAATTTAGGTGTAGATATTGGCAGAATGCAGATCATTCTGTACAGTTTAGAGTTTGAGCCGTGGTCATTAGCTTCTGTGGGTATGCGATTGCTCGTCCAATTTGTCTATGGCTAACCAAGGTAGCAGTGGAATAGGGGTGGCTATTTGTTTTGCGAGCTTTGCCTGTTGCTTCTAACTACTTACTGCTGTTCCATGACTGTTTGCTACCAGGCACTCGATTAATCTAAAATAAGAAGACTTGGTTGTGTTTCAATAGATGACTCGGTTTGTCTTTGGTATTTTGTGATGGCTTGGGAATTGCGGGATACTCTCCAAGCTTCGGGTTTGCAATGTGTGCTCCCAAAAAAACCGAATGCCCAGTGACTCATGTTTGACATCGTTTGCTTTGCTTTCATGTAATGTCTCTTCGGGGAATTGAATGGTCTAAAGTTGTTGTAATTGGTGTGTTATTCGCGTTCCTCTGCTGTTGAATTTAGAGTAATGTCAGTTTCTTATTATTTTTATCAATTTTGAGCGAGGTAAGATGTCAAAGCGAGGACATTGGAAACAATGTTAGAGCAAGCGAAGCTAGAAAGCTTTTCTTGATTTGAGGAAGCATTTTTCGAAGAGGGGACTGGCGAATTGGGGTGCTAGTACTCTTAGTCTCTCATTAGGTATTGCACTTTCTCTTGTTGGGCTTGTGAATGACAGAAAAATTCTAATAAATTTGCCATCTTCGGCTGTTGAGACTTTACAAATGCTTGGATCTGCCATCTGCTGCTTAAAAGTACCATAAGTCTGTTTATTTTGCACATGCGAATCTCAAGTTTATCATTACCTTTCTTTTTCCCTTAATTATTTGCTGAAGTTTTGGAGAATGGTCTGAGTTCAATTACCAACTCAACTTAGTTAATCTTCCCTCTGTTGACTATTCTTGGAGAATTCAGTAGAAAGGAAATGCGAGCAGAAGCAAAAAATTTCCCACACAAAGCCCTCATAGTGTCTAAAGTAACAGGAAAATGAGATAATAGGAATCACATAATCTAAGCCCTTATCATATAACTGTATTTTCCTTCTCTGATCTATCTGATCGAGTTTTATCTTCTCCATATACAAAGTTTATTATCCCGGCATTGCAATCTAGGATGGCAGTAGCATACCTGCTGGAGATCATGTGCGAAAGGCTTAAAATACTTCATAAGATTTGGTGATTATCCGTTCACAACTTAACTTTCAACTGCTGTTTCTTGCATTAGATTTCAAAAACACAAGGAACCAAATTCAACAAATCCTGCCAAGGCATGTTTCTTAGAAACAAAGTGATATGCCTCCAAGATGTATTTAGACTCGACATTAAATATGGACATATTTGTGAAGCTGAGAAGACAAATCTTCACAAATGTAGATAGCGACTTAAGCCAGTTAACATGGGGCTATCATTTTTGGGAAAAAGGACTTTCTCCACAAGAAAATTTCCTCCTATTTTATCATACAGATTTCTCTTCCAGAAATTAATTTCTGGAGCAGAATTAGTTATGTTTTACCAAACAGATTTCTCCTCCAGAAATTAATTTCTAGCAAGAATTCCAGAAATCAATTTCTGGCAAGAATTTGATTTCTGGAGCAGAATGGTTACCATTCGCACCCTTAGTGACTCCGGCTAAAAAGCTGACATGGCATTTATATTAAAAAAAAATGGTCTGACTTGTACACGGTGGAAATTACGTGGCTTTTTTTTCGAATTTTTTAATTTTTAGAAAAATAATAATAATTAAAATAATTAAACAAAAAAAAAAAAAAAAACAAAAAGGTGTTGCGGCGGCGGCGAGGAGCCCTTGCATTCTGCTGCGCTAAGCCACCATTGCGGGAAGGGCCGGCGGTGGTGGGCGCGGTGGTCGGCGAGGGTCGCGGCCCTGGCAAGGCCGCGACCCTTGCCTCGCCGGCGAGGGCGGGATCCGCGAGGTCTCGACGGCGGCGCGGCGCTCGCCTTCGGCCCAGGCGGCGGGACCTCGCCGTCGCCACCCGGGCGACGGCGAGGTCCCGCCTCGCCCGAGCGAAGGCGAGGCCGACCTCGCCGTCGCCTGGTCGCGACGGCGAGGCGCGGCCTCGCCAAAGCAAAGGCGAGCGGGGCCTCGCCGTCGCGACCCAGCGACGGCGAGGTCTCCCCTCGCCGGATCCGGCCGCCGAGCGACGTGGCGAGGTCCCGCTGCCCGGTGAAGGCGAGGACAAACCTCGCCGTCGCCTAGGTCGCGACGGCAAGGCGGGACCTCGCCATCGCTCGGGTCGCGACGGCAAGGCGCGGCCTCGCCTTCATTGGCGAGCGGGACCTCGCCATCGCCTTCCGGGTCGCGACGGCGAGGTCCCGCCCTTGCCCGGCGAAGCGAGGCCGACCTCGCTCGTCGCTTTGGGTCGCGACGGCAGGCGCGGCCTCACCTTCGGCCCAGGTGAGGCCTCGCCTCGGCCGGGCGAGGAGAGACCTCGCCGTCGCGACCCGTGCGACGGCGAGGGTCTCGCCTCACCGGGGTCGGCGAGGGTTGTCGAGCCCGGCCGGGGGCCGACGAGCGCCCACCACCGCCGGCCCTTCCCGGCGGTGGTGGCTTGGCGGCGGCAGTGGCGAGGGCTCCCTCGCCGCTGCTGCAGGGCTTTTTTTTTATAATTAATTAATTAAATAAAATATTTTAAAAAAATACATGTCAGCGGGCTAAACATCGTCGTTTTTGGTTTTTAATGCTGACTGGACCTCTCCGGCGAGTCGTGGACCTCTCCGGCGAGTCGTGTCAGCGCCACATCGGATTTCCGGCTTGCCACGTCAGCATTGACACTAAAGTGATTGATTTTCAAAAAAGTTGGCACCAAAGTGATCCGAAAAAAAGTTATGGCATCAAAGTGATCGCCGTACACAAGTTATGGCACTTGTGGTGTACTTTTGCCGTTTAACGTGTCTCAACGTTAGACCTATCGAAATGGGACGTACATCTATATATTACCCAAATTTGTTAGAACGTGTCATTTCAAGTTTGAAGAGTCTAGTGATAATTGAATTCTAAAT